CTGGTAATTAGCTAGTCCATATGCGGCTAACTGGAAATAAGTGCTATGAAGCAATTCAAACAAATACACTTGTTATATGTTTGCAGGTTCATGGCTTTGTGCATGATAATAGAACTGGGGAGAAGGTAGCAATGTTGGTGGGAAAGTGGGATGAGGCAATGTACTATGTGTTAGGTGATCCGACTACAAAGCCAAAGGGTTATGATCCGATGATTGAGGCTGTGTTACTGTGGGAAAGAGACAAGTCTGTTACCAAGACAAGATACAACCTTACACCCTTTGCGATTTCCTTAAATGAGTTGACACCTGGCTTACTGGAGAAGCTGCCACCAACCGACTCAAGGCTGAGGCCAGATCAACGCCATTTAGAGAATGGGGAATATGAATTGGCAAATGCAGAGAAGCTCAGACTTGAACAATTACAGAGACAGGTATTCTTATATTTCTACTTTTTAAGAGTAGGGCATTGCTAGTGTGTTTTTTAAATTTTCCAACTATTAGTTCACAAAACAAAGAGCAATAAGAAAAAGATAATGAAAGAAAAATACCGGGAAATAATTTTTGGTGTTCATTGCCTGAAAAACCAAAACTCTACTTAATTTCTGTTGCAAATTCGAAAGTACTGTCTGATTTATTTTTTTTTCAGTTGCTGAGCATTAGTAAAACTATAAAAGCTTTCATTGTTTGTTGCTTTTTTCTTAATGAATCATTTGTTTATACTATAGTTACCAATTCGTATTTTATTTGATAATGTACCATGTTTTGTAAAACATTGTTGTTTGTTAAGTATAAGAAAAGCATGTTTCTTTTCCAACAAGACGATCAGCAAGCAATGACAGTGAGGATTGATCTAAAATTCTGGCTTCTGAAAAACTTTTTCTTCTTCTTCTTCTTCTTCTTCTCTCTCTCTCTCTCTCTCTCTCTATATATATATATATATATACCTAAAATTGAGATTGAGATTGGAGAACCCAATTGAACTATTTTAGAGAAAGAAGAATTGTCTCCTTTTCCTCCCGAAACTCCTATGGATCCGTTTCTATTTAGCTGTTATTCCTCGTGCATGGTTTCTGGACCAGACATCTGATTCTTTAGAAGCCACTATGTTTACGAATTGACCTTTTTGTCCTGGGCATTCAATAAAGGTTGATTTCTTACATTATTTTGGGTAAAAGAAAACTAAGTGTATTTATGTAATTTGGAATGCAGGCGAGGAAGTTGCAGGAAAGAGGGTGGCAACCAAGATGGTTCTGTAGGGACAAAGAGGATGGTTGTTACCACTACGTTGGTGGATACTGGGAAGCTAGAGAGAGAGGGAACTGGGAAGGTTTTGCTGATATATTTGGCCAGAATACCACCGACTCACCTCCTTGTGTCGTAGAAGAGTAAGCTGTCTATCTGCGGCCTACTCTTTTTTCTTTTTTTCTTTTTCAGTTGTACTTTTGATGGACTTCAACACTATAAGCTGGAGTTAGTGATATAGAAGCTGTTTCATGTGCAATGTGTAGTTCTATTCGGCTGCTTTTAATCTAATTAGTTCTGTTGGAATTTTATCTTGAGATTTTTTTTATAAAAAAAAATTATTTATTTTCTTAAAATACTTGCAAGAACATCACAGTCAATAGTTTCCCTTGACATCGGTCTTGTATCTTGGGATGTTGGAATGACGTTTTACTGACAAATCAACTTTACAATTGCTCGTATCAACAATATTTCTTGTTTTTGTTTTCATATACCGTCAAATGTTATTGCGTACTTGCTACTGAAAAATTTAATGCATAAAAAAATTCATACTTCGATTACAGAAGAAACTGAACCAGTGAAAAGGACTTGTTCTCGGCTTTGGCTTCCACTGATGTTGCTTTCTCATGAACTAGGACATAAACCATTTACAAATATGTAGTGAAATGGTTGGAGGAGTGATTTTTGCAATCCATCTATAAATATGCCCTTTTCTATCCTTTCTTTTGTTGGCCCTCATTCATTCCCCAGAAGGGAAAGAAGAAACAAGTGAAATGAAAATGCTCTTTGAAAAAGAAGGTAGTGTATTGAATGTTCTTTTCATTCAGATTTTTGTTCCATTTCAGCCCTCTCTTCGGCCGCTGGCACCAGTGGCGGTGGCAATACAAAGGAGGTTGGCAATTTTACTCCTCGTCCCTCACTTAAGCTCCATGAGTTCATTCTTCTGATAATCGCCCTTTCTCACAGTTTGGTTTAGTTTTTAAAAAAAATAATAATGCTAGATATCATGAAAGAAGTATCATGAAAAGTCTTTATGAAGATTCTCTACTTTTGGATTAGTTTATAGTGTCTGTAGTGTTTTATTGTATACTATACAATCACTTTTGGATTAGTTTTATGAAACTTTTCATGATATTTATTTCATGATGCGTAAATAAATATTAAAATACGCTTTTGATATTTATTTCCATTAAATTAAATTTTTTTTTTAAAAAAAAATACAAATAAATGAAAAGCAAAGTGGAGATAAAGAAAGAAAGAAAATTACCATTATTTTTTCCCTTTTCCTTTCTTCATGTAAAATTTCATTTGTTTTGTGTTTTTGAAAACAAACAACTAATAAAAATATCGAAATCATTTTTCTCAAAAAAAAAAAAAAAAACAAAAAAAAAATTGAACTCTCTTATCATTTTTTACGTAGTTCACACATATATATGTTTTCCAAAAATAATTTCAAACAAACTAAGCACATTTTTCGACGCACTTCATCTTCGCAGATTGAAGAAAGAATTACCAAAAAAAAAAAAAAAAACCCTAGACTGAGAACGGTGAAGATATTTTAGAGGTGTTGAGAACTTTGCTTTGTTAGAGTTGTACGTTTGGACTTTCCACTATTTTACATTGCAATGGGGGTGTGTGGTGTAACTTATTTTGGCTAATTTATAGATTCTAGATTTTGGATTGTTTAGTTAAAAGTTTTTTTTTTAAGGTCCCTCGTATTAAAATTTTATAGCATAAAGGACATCTAATATTTTTATAATGTTTAAGGTCTTTCAAGTTGATCCAGAGAAAATTCACGTCACAGAAAAAATTGGTCCAGAAAAATTTTGAAAATTTCTCTGACCTTCTCTAAACTTCCCACTGTAAATTTCTCTGCCCTCCCTTTCTCCAAATTTCTCTGCCTTCCATATACTTCCCACTCACCCAGAGAAATTTATCTGCCTTTCCACAAAATTAAATCTCTAGAAAAATTTGACTTCACATGCCTTCCCACAAAATTACCTCTCCAGAGAAATTGGCTTCCCTAGACATTCATGGACACTCCAAATTTCTCTGGCCTTGCATATACTTCCCATATATTTCCCACTCTCCAGAGAAATATCCCAAGATAATAGATATTTGTGATTACATGGACTCTCCAGAGAAACTATGACTGATCTCGATTTGTAAAAAATAAAAAATAAATATTCTCAAAAAATATTCCAAGATTGAAATGAATGGTACAATACCCGATCTAGTTGTAAGTTACACCCATCCAAAATAAAAACAATCTGATCTATATATTTGATCATCCACCAGCTTCCAAGGCTGCAATTGAATCAATGCCCACAATTGAGATCGTTAAAAGCAATATATCCACCGAAGCATACTGTGTTGTTTGCAATGAACCCTTTGAATTAGGAATTGAAGCTCGTGAAATGCCCTGTAAGCATATATACCATTTAGATTGCACATTTCCTTGGTTTTCTCTTTTGTCTCTGTTGAGTTAAATAGCAAACAAAATGATTAGACCCACATGGGAAACGATAATGTGTCAGAGGCGAAGGAATGGTGGAGATCGCTCGCCTTTCAATCCTGTGTTTGTGCTTCGTAGCCCTTCTGATGGCGGCGTTTTTGAAGCCGCTACTGGTAGTGGCAACGAAGTGTTTGAGTTGTAGTATGGCGACAGAGTTGTGTCTGGGTTGAGGCAGTTACCGGTGAGTATGTTAGAGTTTTTGTTAGGGTCTGGTTTCGATCGACTTTTGGATCAATAGTCCCAAATTCTTACAAATATTTTTCTTCTTGAGATCTTCACCCTCTCGAAATACGGAAGGCAGAGAAAGACAGATGAGTTTGATCGAATTAGAGAGAGAGAATGATGAAAGCCATAGCCAGAAGAGGAAAAAAGAAAGCGAGAAAGTGAATTTTCTCTACAATATACGGGTATAGGATCAAGGGACCTTAGACATTACAAAATAATATTGTAGATCTCTTTTACTATAAAAAATGGGCGAGTGGCCTTAGACTAATTTTTTCCTAGTTAAATTTATTTTAAACAATTTCTAATTCTAACAATTTATTATAAGTTAAAAAAGTTGATTTTAAGAAGCTGTTAATCCCTTACTTCTGATTATCAACTTCTGCTGTGGATATGTTAATTTAAGGTTGTATTCTTAGATTTTTTATTTATTTTTTTATTTTTTAAATAATAAAAAAGACTATAAATTATTATTATTATTTTTTTATGAGAAATGCAGACAAATAGTGAATAACAAAAAAGTAAAAGTTAATTGAAAAAATCATTTCATAATTTATTTAACAAACACTACTCAATAACTTAAATTTATAATCTAACACCTATACCAAAAAAATTAATAACATCGTATTAAAATCATAATTTATAATTTTAAGTTATAATCTAGATAAAACAGACCAAACAAACAAAGCCAATAAAAGAGTAAATTTGCTTCAAAGGTACAGGACTGTAGGCACTGCAGGGTTTGTAGATGTAGAAGAGTATGCATTTATCTTCTTCCTCTGCGATGGCTTCCACTTTGAACTGTAACAAGATGATGAAACTTCTGCATTTACCCAGAAATTGTGCGATTTCAGCCATGAAAAAAGAGTTCCATTCAGCTCAATTTCCACTCAGTCCCCAGGTCTCTCTCTCTCTCTCTCTCCCTATATATATATATGTGCATATTTATACATTTCTGTGCAATATATGTATGCGAAGTAGGGTTTTGATTGAATACTGAAATGGGTTTATGAGTTATGTTACTTGATTGTTACTTGAAAGGGTAAAAAGTTATCGTAAATTGGGATAAAGATGCTGAATCGATTGGAAATTAGAGTGTCCATATGATTATATATACATACTAGCAGTGGCTGCACATGACTTGTGTTTGTAATCGTAAATTTAAACTTTTGGGTTGTTTGATGAATGATGAATGAGGAAAATAGGGTAAATTTGAAAAACTGTTTAGGGGTTAGCTTTGAAACAATTTTATGGTTATTCCTGGAAAAAAATGTGACAAAGTTTCAAGTTTCAGGTTGTGTGCTTTATATAATAGTGCAGCATTGATGCATTAGTGAAATAAAACAAGACGATGATTGTGATTGTGGGATTTTAGATGATACTATGCCTTGTTTGGGAACATGCTAATTTAGTAACTTTTTGGCTATTTGGCTAAAATATGAGCTAAAAAAAATTGTTTGGGATGACTTTTTGGCTTTTTACGAAAAGTTGTGCAAAAAGTAGAGAGAAAATAGAATCTTTGACTTTTTGGTATGAGTTGTTGGCTTTTTGGCTAATTTAGTAACTTTTTAACTTTTTGGCTAAAAAATTCGGTTGCCAAACGAGGCCAGAGGACAGAGAACCTTCATATTGGATAGCAGAATGCCAATCATGTGGAGGTGGGTTTGTTGCTTTACAAATGCTCTGTCACTTGAATGCCATTGCATTGCATCTACTCTTTTTACTCAAACAAGGTTGAATTCACTGTAATACTCATATAGCACCCTTCTAAAACGTGTTGTTGTCACAGTTGATTTGAGTTGATAAACACCACACCCCTCTTCTATCAATTTCAGGGCCCTTCCGAAGTTGAAATGTGTGGTGAAGCATTCATCTCAAAATTGCTTGACAGAAAGTGGATGTTGCTTAAGCCAGATACCAACATTCACCAAATAATGGTCTCTGGCATGCAAATACAACAAGGCCAACCACTTGGAAATGTTTGGTTCTCAAACAACACTAGTCCATCTTTGGGGGATAGCATGATGGAAAAGAACAATCCACAACCATCCTTTTATGTTGTGAGGGATGATTTGTTGCACCCACTAGTGAATGGTAACAAGGCAAGAAAACTTGACGGATTGCTTCCTTTTGTCGAAGATCATTCAGTGACTGACATGGTGAGTTAACATTACTAACTTATTTTTATTTTTAGCTGCTCAGTCCTGTTAAGTTACACTAGCCTGTTGATAGAAATAAAGATTTAACCATTTACTTTTAACTTGCTTATGAACATATATGGTTACAAACACACAAGCATGTGTCACAATTATTGGATGAAAATTTTCAGGTGCTATACATTTATTAGGATACTTGGAACAAGTTTGCATATATACCTATAAAGTTGGTACAGCCAGATAATCATGGCCATTGAATCATGCTTGCTTTTAGCATACAAGAATATATTCTATGGTGGATCTCAGCTGCTTCTTGTTTCTTTATGTTTCTCTTTTCATAATATGTATTCATCTTGCACCCATGATATACTTATTCCTAGAATCTTGGGGCACTTTTAGGACTGAATAATATCCAGTTCAGACATTTTCAAACATTTTCTAGGTTACATGTGGAGGTTGCCAAAGTGCGCACACGGCAGCAATGGGTAGGTACTTTAGTTTTGCAGGGAAGTACAAATATTTCCTATTTTAAAATTTTCTTAAAAATCCATTTTCATTTATTTTGGTGAACTGAGCCGTAGAATCCAGTTTCCAATAATTGGCTTGTGTACCTGGCAGCTGTTTCATGTGCAGAGAGAGGACTGAGGTCACATTTGCTTCTCAGAGGAGAACAGCCTGAAATTCCTACTGGCTACAATCTGATTTCCATGCTATATGGAAGTGCCATTTATGTTCCTAGATCTCTTTATGCCAAGAGGGAGGAAATGCTTGCAAAACATGCTGATTTGGTAGCAGGAGGTAGCGGTTCTGTTGTATGGCTAACTGACATTTTAGAGGCTTCCTTGACAACTCAAATTTCTGGGAAACCGAATTGTGAGCGACTGGATGTTCATAGATATGCTGAAAGTTTAAAAAGGGTTGTTATTGTCAATGAAGGTGCAGGAGATGCTGTAGGGTTACTAGGTAAGTGTAAAAATGTGCTTTGATACTATTTGTCATTAAATGTTTGCATATCTTCTTGTATTTGAGACACATTGTGACAATCGCTATCCCTGTGCTTCTATGCCTGACTGGTTGTAATAAAAACGAAAATAAAGAACTATTTGAGCACGTATTTTGTAACTTGTGTATATATCATTTTATTAGATATCTATGGCATAGTTGTACACACATTGCAAAATATGTGGCATGATATTACCTGTCAATTTTGTTTTTTGTTTGTTTAAGGGAGCCATTGGTTCAGTGGTTAAAACTCGGCCTGTCAATCAACCTTAAGGTTTTGAGTTCAAACCTTTGGGCAGCTATTTTGTGCAAATCATGCCAAATGTTATGTCTGTACCCAATCTACTTGTCCCCAGACCCTACTCCCATCCAATGGGGACTAAACCGGGCATACTTTTGTTTGCCTTTTTTTTTTTGGTTGAAGTTCTTAGTTATGTCTTTAAACTTCATTGACAAATGAGCTATTTGTGCAATGACTGTCAATTAAATTTTATGAATGGTCTGAAGAAATAAGGAGAAAGATAGAGAAAATAAATGCATCATCAGATGGTCATGGTTACCCAAGTTGGTGGATGGTATGGTCTACGGAAAAGTAATTTCTTAATATGTTTAGTTATGTATTTTTCTCTATTTGTTTGCATTTTCTTATTTGATTAGCTGTTCTCTATTTCCAATATCTTTAGAATTTCTCTGTTGTAGGTGTCATCCGTCTTGTGCAGTACTTATCCCAGAAGCATGTTTTTGGAAAAGAGCAAGCCTTTAAAATTGTTGTAGACGCTGGTACAGGGACAACAGCCATTGGTTTAGGACTTGGAGCCATATGTTTAGGGTGCGTCCCTATTTATACATGTAACATGTCTAGTTAAATATCTTCAATTTTTGAATGGTTCTAGATCTAGTGCTTTCTTATGAGATTTGAGTCTTATACAAGCAAAATAGTGGAGCAACACATTTCACGTTTTTTTTTTTCTTTTCAAAGGCTTCCATGGGAGGTGTATGCAGTGATGCTAGCTGAAAATATTGATGGGTACAGAAGACAGGAGGAAGAGTTGGTTTCTGATTTCCAAAGGTGTTGTGGTTTTCCCATTGTTGAAGCAAATGGTAGATTTGTGCACTGGTTAGAACGTAGCCGCCCAAGAAAGTAAGTAATATGCCTTCTGATTTGACAACATTATTTTTTATTATTTTTTGGTTTTTTGGGCGTGCCATGGTGGGGTGTGCCATGAGAGTTATATTTTTGGATTTGCCTTTATGAGATTTTTACAACTAGATCCATGTTGAATATGAAAATTTGAAAAAAAAAGGAAGGGAAACATATATATATATATATATATATATCACTTATAAAAAGTGTGCACTTTTAAATAAAAAAAATAAAAAAATATATATATATAGATATATGCACTTTTAAACTTCAAATGGCCATAACTTTGTGCTTGTTGATCTATTTTGTGCGAATTTTTTGATTTAATGTATTTTTTCGATATCTATGTGCTTGCAAACTGCCAAAGGTGGTTTGGGGCAGTGGTAGCTTTTTAAAATTTGCAATTTTCCCTATTAATTCCAAATTGATGGTTATGTACCGTTATTTATGTTAAGAAATTCATATCTCAATGTTCTATGAAATGTTGGAAAGTTCGATTTTGATTCAAGTTGAATATGAGATTTTTGGATTCGTCATGAGAGTTATATTTTTGGATTCGCCTTTATGAGATTTTTACAACTAGATCCATGTTGAATATGAAAATTTGAAAAAAAAAAGAAGAAAAGAAAGGAAACATATATATTGTTAGTAATGGGCGTCCATGTGGCATGACCATTTGAATTTGAATTTGAACCTCTGCATTTTTTATACTTTGATTTACATATATATATACATATATAACAACGCCTAATTAGTACATATTAATGTGTGTTTGAGAGGGAAAAAATTGGGTACATACTCTTCGATATAATGCACAAAGTAATTGTCCCGAAACTTGAATCTATAACATCAAAGTTATTAGGTCAAGGTTTTATCATTGAACCAATGGTCACCCCTAAACATATATATATATATATATCACTTATAAAAAGTGTGCACTTTTAAATAAAATATATATATCGATATATGCATTTTTAAATCACTTTTAAACTTCAAATGGCCATAACTTTGTGCTTGTTGATCTGTTTTCTGCGAATTTTTTTGATTTAATGTATTTTTTCGATATCTATGTGCTTGCAAACTACCAAAGGTGGTTTGGGGGCAGTGGTAGCCTTTTAAAATTTGCTATTTTTTCTATTCATTTCAAATTGATGGTTATGTACTTTTATTTAAGAAATTCATATCTCAATGTCCTATGAAATGTTGGAAAGTTAGATTTTGATTCAAGTTGCATGATAATCAAATTGTTGAGGGTTGACTGTGATGACACATGAAATTGAGGCAAGGAATGTGAATCCAATTAAAGGCAATATGTACAAGCAGACTGAGGAAGTTGAAGACTTGTTTCTAGTTTGCATTGAGTAACCACTCTTAATCGAGAAATGTTTTTACTTTTATTTTTGCTTCCAGATTCGGCAATGTGTTGACTGGGGAAATAGAGATGTGCCAACAAATTGCGCAGCAAACTGGTGTTCTAGTCGATCCAATATACACGTTAGCCGCTTGGGAATTAGCAACACAACTTAGCCAGAGTGAGTCAAAAGGCGGTGCAAAAGTGGTGATGCTTCACACTGGAGGTACAATGGGCATGTTTGGGTTAGCACAGAGATACAAGAAGTACTTTGACACGCTCAAAGGAGCTATTGTCTGAGAACTTCAAATTAGACATTAAATGGAAATCCAAATATATTCAATTTATCCAGAGGTTTTTTAGCCTAATTGTTTGTTGCCTTTTGTTTTCCTTTATGCTCTTTTAAACCCATCCAATGGTTTGTTATTCAAGTCTTTCCTTGAAATTTTTAGCCCTGTAAAAATTGCATTTAGAAACATTAATAAATATAACCAAAAAATATGGTAACTAAAACACAAGATATGTACAGGAGATTCACTCATTGATGTAAGACCATTTAATATTGTGTTTAATTGATAAATGTAATTAAACCTTCAAAAAAAGAAAGAAAAAATAGAGTCTTTCACTAATCATTCTCAAATAAGAGTTTGCTGAATTAAAGTCTCAATCTCAGGCTCAGTCCAAGTAATGATCCAATGATGTATATGTAGAGAAATATGTTACATATTTTTATTCCTTGCATCTATCAATAGTTGTCCACTCATCATACACTCCATTCATGTTTGCATATGTAATTTGATTCCCAATTATTAACAAAGCTACACTGTAGTTATGCAAGCCAACATTGTCATAATGTAACAAAACATTTACAATTAATGAATGAATTTAATTTTTTATATAAATAATCTATTCATGAAAATTTATAAGATAAAACGGCCGAATGTAAGTGAAACCTAAAACGATCCTCACAACTCCAACAACAGCAATTGTTTTCACACCATCAATCAAACAAATGAAAAAGACAATAATGTGAGGTTTGTCTAGGAATGGAATCTTAAATGGGGGTGTTTGAGTGGATTCATATTTGTGTATTATTGTTTTATTAAATTTTTGTTAAATATATCATTATTAAAATGTGATAATGTAATATTATTCTAACATGTGCACTATTATCTTATTAAAATTTTACCAAATATGTCGTCGTTTTTAAAATGTGATAATAGGATATTTGGACACTATTATCTTATTAAACTTTCTCTTTTTATCCCTTTCTTCTAGGATTTTTGAGATTTGGGCGTCGCTTGGGGTGGGAGAGGGGAGCGCCGACCTCTTCTCTCCTCCTTCCTTTTTTGGTTCAATAATCCTTGGAAGCTTGTCTTCTCAACTTGTTTATAGTGGAATCTCTTCTTGTCTCTCCTCTTCCCTATTGCTTCGCCTTACCTAGCTATGGCCTTCATCGAGGTCGCCTTCTCCATCTTCTTCCGCCTTACTCTAGCGTCACCGCCACCGCACCTCCAGATCTGCCACTTTGCAACCTCCATGGCCTAGATTTTCCATTTCTTGGCCTCTAGATCCGCTCTCTGGCCTCTAGTCATCGGATCCGCCGCTACCATTCCACTACTTTGGCTTGGGACTAAGGTTCTGCTTTTTTTCTCTTTTTGTTTTGTTAGTTGTTTGATTGTGTAGCTTGAAGTCCATCGGTGGTGGCTGTAAAGCTTGCATTCTCTGTGATTGTAATCTATGTTTTTATTTAGACTTGCCCTATTGCCAAACTATTATGATCGGCATTTGCTTTGCAATACGGGTTTTTCGTCTTGATATTTTCTTAGTTTTCTCCTGGTGCTTCATTTGTTGATTTTTACTTTGTTTGGTATAAGTTTTTTGTTGGATGAATTTCTTTGTAAGTGCCATTAGGTTTACCTTAATGGAAATTTCTACTGTTCAAAAAATAAAAAAAAAACTTTTGTCAAATGTGAAAATATAACATCATTCTAATGTATGCACTGTTGGTAATGCTATATACACCAATTAATGCACACACTAGTGTATCAACTAGTGTTATGCCATTATTATGGATCCTACTTATTATACAAATTACAAATATCCAAAACCTCTAAAGTTATGTTACATTATCTATTAGTATACTAATTAATATATTAATTGGTACGTATAACATTATTCATGTACTATTGTCTTATTTCTGAATGTGGGTATGTTTTATTGAGAGATTTTAATATGAGATGAGACTTACGAGTTTATAAGAGTATTTTTGGGATTAAATAAATATATGATTTATTAATAAATGACCCATAAAAATATTAAAGATTTTCAAAAAAATTATTAAAAATTATATATAATTATTATGCAAAATTTTTGATAATTTTTTAACATCACTAACATTTTTCATTATGAAGATAAGAAGTTATTAAGTAATCTTGAATTATCATGTGAAATTATTTATGTAGCACTCTAAACTAATTAAAGCTTGCATTCTCTGTGATTGTAATCTATGTTTTTATTTAGACTTGCCCTATTGCCAAACTATTATGATCGGCATTTGCTTTGCAATACGGGTTTTTCGTCTTGATATTTTCTTAGTTTTCTCCTAGGTGCTTCATTTGTTGATTTTTACTTTGTTTGGTATAAGTTTTTTGTTGGATGAATTTCTTTGTAAGTGCCATTAGGTTTACCTTAATGGAAATTTCTACTGTTCAAAAAATAAAAAAAAAACTTTTGTCAAATGTGAAAATATAACATCATTCTAAAGTATGTACTGTCGGTGATGCTATATACACCAATTAATGCACACACTAGTGTATCAACTAGTGTTATATCATTATTATGGACCTCACTTATTATACAAATTACAAATATTCAAAACCTCTAAAATTATGTCACATCATCTATTAGTATACTAATTAATACATTAATTGATACGTATAACATTATTCATGTACTATTGTCTTATTTTTGAATGTGGGTATGCTTTATTGAGAGATTTTAATATGAGATGAGACTTACGAGTTTATAAAAATATTTATGGGATTAAATGGTCTATAAGTCATAAATATATAATTTATTAATAAATGACCCATAAAAATATTGAAGATTCTCAAAAAAATTATTAAAAATTATGTATAATTATTATGCAAAATTTTTGATAATTTTTTAACATCACTAACATTTTTCATTATGAACATAAGAAGTTATTAAGTAATCTTGAATTATCATGTGACATTATTTATGTAGCACTCTAAACTAATTATATAATAAAAATTTTATGACATATATACTGATTCACCTTTTTGTTAGGTATGTAAAACATAGAAGATATCCACTCAATATATATTATGATTTCTCATTAATCAAGAATATTAGAGATAATTTGATATAATATTTAAGGAGTATCCAATAATTTTCCATATAAAAAGAACATTTGGAGTTAGTTTAAAGAAGTGAGTTAGGTTTTGGGTTGTGGGCATTAGACATGGTAAGCGAAGGTGGGATGTTTAGGTTTGCTGATGGAGTAGACAAGTTGCTCATGTTGTTTCGTACATTGGGTTGCATTGGAGATGGGATGATGATTCCTTTCACAATGTTGGTTCTCAGTGGTGTCATCAATGAATATGGAAGTTCAAGTGCTCTAATTTCTCTCGCCACTGATGTCGTGAATAAGGTACAAAAAGTTTACACGGTCGTGAGGTGATAGAACAAAAAAAAATGATTATAATTTTTGGTTGTCTTATTTAGACGAGTAACAAAAGAAAATATGTGCAACAAAGATATAGGCTGAATTTTTTCTCTTAATCTTAATATTATAAGAAATATTCAATCAAGTAATTTCTTTTCAAATTTCACAAATTTTGATAAGAAATAAAAGTTACATAATAATAAATTTCTCTCACTATCTCTCTCTCTCTCTCTCTCTCTCTCATTTTGTTGGAAATGGTAAAAAATTCTGGATAAAATCAGAATTTTTTCTCAAGTTTGGTCTATTTTTTAGGTGGGCCCCAAGCGTTGATTTACTCGGGTCAGAGTGGTAACGCGTTCTATGCCGCGTTGTGATTCACGTGGTATATTTGGTTGCTCAAAACCATTACCGAGTGAATGGAAAATTGAAGCCAAAGTGTGCTCCATGGAAATAGAGTTTTGGTGAAAATTCCTTAAGGTTGTAAAATGGCTTGTCCCACATTGATTTGGTGGGAAGTTTTGAAAGGGTTTATAAGGCATGGGTTTGGTACTTGGGGTGTGCCCCAAGAGGTACCCAAGTGTTTTAGAGGGAGAGGTTATGGGCAAAATGGGCTAGACCCATTGGGCCCAAAAATCACCACATGCGCACCACCACCACCGTCTGTCCGGACTGGGCTTGGGCGCGGGTGCATGGTTGGGTTGGGCTTGATCGGCCCAATACTAATTTTTTTGGGCCAAAAACATTTGAATTTATTTTTATTTTTTGGTAAAATTAAATCCATAATTCAAATTAACCGGAAATAATATGGTTCGGTTTTTTCTGTACATCCAAACAGGGCCCTTCTGTTTTTTGAACCCAATAGCTCTAAATCTGTTTGAATTTCAAACCAAACAGTGCCTAAACAGTTTTGTATCTATTTAATTCAAATTGAACAGGTACAGTACCTGTTTAATTCAAAATGAAAAGCCACCAATCCATCTATAAATAGACTAAGCCCCCCCATTTGTTACTTCACTAATTTTCGTCCATAAAATTCTGCATACATAATCTTCATTTTGCTACATTATTTTCTTGTTAGAGAGAGTATAAACATTTAGTGTGTTCGACGAACGATTAAATTGTAGTGCTGCTTTTATTCGTTGATAGATCATTTATCCTGGGAGATAGACGTCCAGATTCTAAAAGCACCGTGGAGAGGACGAATCTGTCTTAAGGACACAATGTCAAACACTGAACTTGATCAGAAAATAATTCGAACAAATTAAATCAAGTAAGTTATTTAATTTATTTTTCAGTGTTGTTTTTATTTATTAAAATCATATTTAAATTTTATTTTTGTAACAAAATAAAATCTGTTTTTATTTATTTATTTTTATTTCGAGTTTGATTTTAGTAATCATTTAAATCGGTTGAAAGAAAAACCGAACCTCTAGAATTAATTCATACTGATGTATGTGATCTAAAATTTACATATTCTCTCCTTTTCTTATTTCTTTATATTCTTGTTGTTGTTTTGTACACAACAGAATTTAATCTATTTAAATACAGTGAAGATTGCCCAACAATCTTAAGACAGAGTTCTTTTTTGGTATCTTCATTGTATTTAATTTTTGTGTTTTCAAAGTAATATTCTGGTTGGAAAAACAAATAGTGATTTATGCTATTTGACAGATAGTA